CTTCTTGTCAGGTCTTTGTCAGGACCTTTAGAGACTTGTTATACACAACAGGTTTCTCAAACAGCATCTACCTTCTGAACCAAGCCCAGAGGAAAGAGGCATTACATCATTTGGCATGTTTGTGTTTTTTGACACATCTGATTAGCATGAAGCCAGTGAGAGTTAAAGCAGACAAATGAGCACAGGTGTTAATAGTGCCCTCTGGTCAAACATTACGTGTGCTTGGCAGCAGTAAACAGCATGATTATGAAGGTGTGTGAGCAGCTGTCTCTCCACATTAATGATGCAAAATCCCTTAGATATTTATTGATGAGTTGTTGGAAAACAGTAAATGGTGTTCCACAAAAACAAATAGGGCACAAAGGAATACTCAGTTAACAAACTGCACCTATTAATATTATAATCAGGCTGATGGTTTTACAGTGCAACCATAAAACATGAAATATTATTTGAACTAGAATTTATCTTTAAAAGAATAAAAGACAATATACCAGTTGTCATTCCTTTAGTTGAAAGTTCCAATTTGAAAATAATTTACTAACAGCACATCTGTATGGAATACAGACTTTTTACTTTAAATGTGTTGCACATGTCAGAAATTGTCTGTGAAATACTGTACATGACTTAAAAGGGAACTGATACAAAACAGACCTTTTCATATAGACTGACGCTGTCCAGAAGCACAGTGAATTATAAGCAATACACTATCAAATAATACCAGTACAATTGTTATTCTGTTTGCAAATTTTTCTGTCCTCTCAACCTGCTCTCTGTATTATATGAGCTATTTATTACAATTTCATTTGCATCTGAATCACATCCTGTGCTTGTACAGTATGTGTTAAGGGATGTCAGTGAACACCTACACTTTGGAGAATGGGTGTGTAAAATTAGACTATTGTAATATCTAGAAAAATGGATGTATGGTTTGTAACATCATAGCAGATAGCATGCAATTTTACAGTTTTAAATATTTTCTCAGAAAACATTAACCAATTTTTCTGACAGTACCTTAACACGATATAGCCTAGTCTTATACTGAAAATCGACTTTAAATTTGATTTGCAAATCTTAAGTAATAAAACTACACAACCACTTAAATATATTTTAAATATCTTCTACTAAAAAATCCTAATGAAAGTTACAGGGGTGCAAATGTATTATTTTTATTGCTATCGCTATTGTTATAATCTCAGCAAGCTATGGGCACAAGGCAGGTTACACCCTGGTTAGCCATGCACACACTCAAATCAGGCCCAGTTTTCCCAGAAGTCAAGTGCATGGAGTGCATGGAGGAAACCCATGCTATCATGGAGAAAACATTCAAACTCCAAGCAGACAGCATTTCAGGTCCAAAATTGAACCCAAAGCCCAGTGTTGCTGAGTGCGCCTGCCTCGAGACGCATCCCTGCATGCACCACTGCACCACACAACTCAGGATCTGTTGAGTGCTGCTCACAGGCCGGATGCACGTGGAAGGCAGGATGGGAGGATAACTCAGTTATCATCATCATCATTATTATTATTATTACTGTTTTCTTTCACTTACTTCACTAGATATTCTAGATACAGTATGTCAAGAGCTAGTTTGATTAAATCAGGCAGGATTTAGATGATTGTATTTTAGGATTTGAAGCCACAATTTAACCAATAGTTAGAATTCAGAAATCACAATCAGATCATTTTAGATTCATGTCATATTTACTGATTGTTAATGTATTTTTGAAAAAACATATTTTTACCATTTTCCTTCAGTCACCCATATTATATAAATGTATTTCCTGATGTTTAACCAGCAGTAGATCAGCATCATGCCAAAGGTCATGCCTTTTACTGTACAGTACTGTATATACAGTACACATAACACTGTTATTCTCTCCACTTCTGCACGTAATTTAGGCTTACAAAAACAATGAACTGTTTATACAATGAATTATGTATGATAAAAAATACTGCCTAGAATAATACCTTGTTTGGAGAAAGACCAAAATGTCTTAGGTTTCAGTAGCTGGACAGAATGCTAATACACTATATACTGTATAGCTACAGCATGTACTGGACAGTTACAACCATATGGGACAAATGTGAATGAAACTGTGCTGCAGCTATAATCCCTGCACTAACACAGGGGGAACAAGCGGTATGAACTGCCTCTTCCCAATGCCTAATATCAAGGTGATGATAATCTGATACACTGTAAATTCCAGACTCTATAAAGTTCTTTATAAGATAATTAGCAATAACACTGAAATCTTCCTGGAACCTGGCATGTCTCAGGGGGATGGATATCTGTTCTGGGGCTTACTGAGGATATCCTGGCCAACTAGTCTAACACTGGTCATGTTCAGCCAGTGCTGCTCTGCTGCTTGGGAAATGCCAATTACAGTCGTCTAATGATATACAGTAACACAGGCTTGAGCTGTTTACAGTCTACAGTCTACATCCAGTCTACAGGCCCTGAGAAAATGTGTTTAATTGTGTTTCAGGCTCAGGAATTTCTCAGGCAGCACCACACACTTTACATAGCATCACCTGGGTAGATATAATGTTAGTAGGCCAGAGGTCTGGTGGTTTTCCAGCTAAAATGGACCTGTGAGATTTGCCACTTTGAGGTTCTTTAAAAATAACTAAAAAATAACTCTATTGCTGTTAGGTGCAAGTAGCCTGGCAGTGTTGTCAGAGAGAGATTTCCCACTTGTGCAATTTGTGCTATCTCTTCTGTCATATGCTACCATACCTGTATCTTCCAGTTCCTTGGTGCCTGCATGCTTCCCGTAATGCAAGTGAGATGTGTGCTAATAGATGGATACTGAAGAGCTTGGAGTGTGTCAACTCACAGATGGCTCCTTTTTCCATATGTGCAAGTTTGACTTAATAGCCTAAATTAGTTAAATAGTTGGAAGACCAAAAACTTTCCAACTTTGTCTTGTAAGACCAGAAAACCGTTTGCAACATGTTTGCAGTATCATTTAGAGGCTTTGCTGCAAACCCCATGTAAGATTTTTTTTCAGTTCCATGCAGCCACCCTTTCTGGAATGACAAGATATTGATGATCCTTGGACATTTTTTTCTCATCTCAGCCACTGAACTCTGTAATACTGAATAAGGCTCCATAGCCGAGACATAGTTTCTTTTCTTTTCAGCATGGAATGAACCTTTACCTGTTTGTTTGCGGCATATGCCTGTTAACTCAGCTCCCTACTCGAACCACTTTCCTCCCTGCCTATCTGCTCTATTTGGAGGAACAGTATGATCTAAGCAGTGTATGGATGATGTCCGCTTCTTAATAATCAAGTTCACTATGCTGAATAAGATAGCAAGGGTCTATATTGGTGTTCATGGTTGAATCTTTGCTAAAAACATAACTATCCCATGAGAGACCTTACAGAGATATTTGTATTTATTCTGAAATCATGTCAACCCATTTTTTTGAATACAGACAGGCCACCCCACTAATTGTGTGGGCCCTTATTCTTT